ATAATCGACGTACCTGTGATCGTATCACTACACCACTACCAACTTCTCCAATACACAACGGTTCTACTAAAAGATCATATAAATGTGGACTTTGTGGCCAAGAAGGGCATAATAGACGTTCTTGTGGTCGCAACACTTCACCATCAGCTACCTCATCAACAACCTCAATGTACAACGGCACTCCCACTAAAAGATCACATAAATGTGGAATTTGTGGTCAAGAAGGGCATAATAGGCGTACTTGTAGTCGACAAAAATAACATATACTTGTGAAAATTGAGGAAAAGAAGGGTATACGTACTTGTGATCATATACGTAAACTGAAAACGAAAACTAATCTCCAGCAGTTAAATTATTACTGTAGACAAGCATAATTATTTATTTATAAGTAATTTAGGATGAATTAATGACTTATTTTTGTATATTTCTAAATATTATAGTTTTATTGCATTATAAACATCGCTATAAAATAATACATTTATACAATAAGCAAGCTAATAAAATTTAATTATTTATTAAGATAATAAGAGTAATATGGCTAACATTGTTAAGTGGTAGTTTGCATTTGAAGGGTATCCGCAGAGAATTACTATTACTTTCATATAATATTGGAATGCTGAAAGTTTCTGCAATATATAAAAATCATATAGAAATGAAGGAAAAAATGGCAACACGCGATCTACTAAATCGATTTTAATAATTCTACAACTATTGGAATCAGAATAATTCGCTCTATAATATTTGTTAGAAACTCAAGGGAGGTTTGTTTAGCTGAAAAAACATTTGTCATTGTAAGCTAGTTACATTCCAACCCTATAGAAAACCATATCAATTTCCGACAATTTCTACTATTAAATTTACTATTTTTTATACCCTTTAATCGCGATTTACTTATCTCTATATCGTATGTTTCCTAGGGTATTGGTTATCTGGCCCCAAAATATGCCACTTGTCTGTCATGGTATGGCATCGCTTGAAACGGATTATACATGAGGCCAATTAACATTTGAAACCTTCTTCATTCATATATATGAAAATTTTGAAAGTATTTATCTTATACATTAATAGACACGAACAACTTTAAAGTATCTTGCGGAAATCCACTTAGTAATCGTCGAAATAGTCGAAATATAAGTAATTTTTTAATAAATGATCAAAATTCATTTACTAGTTAAATTCGTCGGAATTAATTCATCAATTGTTTAATAAAATTGATCAAGGTTCGTCAAAACTATTTTTGAATTTCTGCTAGTAACTTACAGACAAATGGTGTCTTTATGAGTGTATGAACTAGGAATATTTAGTATAATTACCGCCCAAATTAATAATGTGAATGACCACCATCCTTATCATATACCTCTTTAACACGGTCTACCTCACTTTCAACAAGATGTCTAAAAAAACTTTGATATAATGCTTTCATGTATGGCACTTATCCATGTGTTATTTCTTTTATATCGGACTTTATAGAAGAAAAATTAGATAAGAGACAATTTACAACAAGAACAACCAGACAAATGATCAAGATGACCAGATGTAAGATATACGAACCTAAACTTCATTTTAAGTAGAATTGACATATTAATTACTGATTTGTGGCGCTGCCGCATTTATTAATTGACAATTAGCGCGGCAATTAATGAAGGGGGATGCAATGATCTCTTTAATAACTTGTTGAAGGTATTCAAATACCCCGAATCCTTCATTAGGTTTCCTCTCTTTACCTGCTTAATCTTTATGGTCTCGATTTTTATTTAAATTTCCTAAAACAGATAAAAGTCATATAAACTATCAAATGTTAAAAAATCTCGTAAATTAATTTTGAGGTTAAATATACCTCGTTTTGTTTTTTTTTTTTACATATTTGCAATATCTAGTAATCGTGAAAATGGTGTTATGAGACCATTTTTTGTGGAGTAGAACTCAAAATATTTTGCGTAAGGGATATCTGTTGATGAACTGTTTTGTACAGGAATAACCATGGTATTTATTTTACCAAAGCTGTGGAAAACGATTAATGGAATATGTTTTTGATTCTCAATTAGCTAATTAAACTCGATTAACTAATGAAAGTCGGGAGGTCGAGGTTAGATCCATATGAATTTCACATGTATACTTACTTGTAAACCATAAATTCAGAAATATAATTCCTTCTGTCAAAAGTCACCATATAAAAGAATATTCGTCCGACAGAATTTCTATTCCAGTAAGATGTAAATGAAAAGTCGAACAAACTTATAGTGGTGATGTTTTTGTGATTTTGCTTTCTTAGTCCTTTAATCATTTATATTTTTCGTTTGTAACGATGAGAAGTTTCTTGAGCAGTTTGAGCTTTTAAAGTTTGCGATCCTGACTTCATATTGTTTTGAAACTAGTTGTAGCCCACAGAAATGCGGAAAATAATTGGTGTGATACAGGATAGTAAAATTAAAAGGTCATTTCGGACTAAAATTCATAATAAAATTGGGGTCATTTGAGGTCATTTGAGGTTATTTGAAGGTTATTTGAAGGTCATTATTTACCATCCCTGGTGTGATGTGGTGGCTGCTGTTGGACTAAAATATGGATATAATTTAACAGTTGGCCTTATTCTTATTAGTTAAGCCAGACACACTTTATCTCTAGTACGGTGTGAGTGTATCTACAAAAGCACAAATTATCGCATCTGATATATGCTATAGCAGTTGCCGATGCCGGAGAGCGTAAGCAGTGGTTATTTCCCACATCACAGCGCGATGCGCAACAAAATTTAAAGAAAAAAAGATTTTTGTTAATAACATGAAAAGCTGCTTATATATAAACAACCGTTACGTCAAACCCGTGATTAATTAATTTTTGTTGATCATGATCATCGTCAAATAGTCAAGTAAAGCCCCTGGCGTAACAAAATATACTACGCGTCAGTATAGTTCTTTGTTAAGACGGTATTTTCTTTCGTGTTTACATATGACTATTTGTTAAACATTATACTGATCCTCTTACGCGTTTTTAAACTTCAATCTAGGCCATAATATTCTTAAATTATTTATCTCTCAATAGTGAAATTATAAAGGGAAAATTAGCAGTAAGCATAATCAGT